AATTGAATTTTATGATATTTAACCAGTTTACAAGTTCTAACTTAAAAGGTAATTTATTTGTTCCGTGTGTGTGACTGAAAAATCAGTGCTTAACTAAGCTTTCTGGAAGAGTAGGCTTTTGTTGTTGGCTTTTTGGTACTTTTGATTGACCTAGAGGCACTTAACCACTGAGCCACATCCCCAGCCCTTATTTTTATTTTGAGACAGGGTCTCATTAAGTTGCCTAGGGCCTTACTAACTTGCTGAGACTGACCGCAAACTAGAAATCCTCCTGCCTCAGCCTTGCTTTGGGTTCACTGGGATTATAGGTATGTCCTATCATGCCTAGCTCTAGAAGAGTTATGTTTAGTTTGTGCAATTGTACATTTTCCATATTCTTCTATATTAGAAATGACTTAAAAGTACTAGTGACTTGGGAGGCTGAGGCCAGGAGCATTGCAAATACAAGGCCAGCCTGGGCAATTTAGCAAGACCCTATCCCCCCAAAAAAGTGAGGGGGCTGGGGCTGTAGCTCTGTGGTAAAGTGCCCCTAGGTTCAGTGCCCAGTAGGAAAAAAAAAAGCTGGGGGTGGGGTGGTGCAAGTTTATAATCCCAGCCTCTTGGCAGGGGAGTATTGCAAATTTGAGGCCAACCTCAGTAATTTAGGGAACTGTTTGGGATGTAAATATTTAAAAAAAGATGTAATTCAAAACAAAGGTAACAGAAAAAGAAAACATCTTTATAGATTAACATGAAAGATCACTTGAGGATAATTTACTTTTTTTTTTTTTTTTTAAAGAGAGAGAGAGAATTTTTTAATATTTATTTTTCAGTTATTGGCGGACACAACATCTTTGTATGTGGTGCTGAGGATTGAACCCGGGCCGCACACATGCCAGGCGAGCGCGCTACCACTTGAGCCACATCCCTAGCCCAGCTCCCCTGAGTTCTATCCCTGGTACTATCAGGGGAAAAAAAAAACCCAAATTTTTGTATTTCTGGTTATAACCTATTCTTGTAAGAATTAAATCTTCATTTTTGTGATTTTTTTTTTTCATTTGTTTTGGGCGCTGGAGATTTAACCTAGGGGCACTTTACCACAGAGCCATACCCACAGCCCTTTTTATTTTTTTATTTTGAGACAGGGTCTTAGTAACATGCCAAGGGCCAGGGCTTGGCTAGGTAGCAGAGGCTGGCCTCCAACCTGTGCTCCTCCTGCCTCAGCCTCCTTAATTGCTGGGGTTATAGGTATGTGCCATTGCACTTGCATATCTATCTTGTGGTTTTGATTTTCTTTTCTATTGATGATATGCATTTCTTCACATGCTTTGGCTATTTATATATCTATGTAGAAATACATTAACATTCTTTTTTTTTTTTAAAGAGAGAGTGAGAGAGAGAGGAGAAGAGAGAGAATTTTAATATTTATTTTTTAGTTATCGGCGGACACAACATCTTTGTATGTGGTGCTGAGGATCGAACCCGGGCCGCATGCATGCCAGGCAAGCACACTACTGCTTGAGCCACATCCCCAGCCCAACATTCTTTAAACTATCTTAATTCTTCCCTGGAATCAAGAGCTATAGGGGGATGGGGTGTGGGGTAGTCAGTTGTGGAGACCTTGATGGGAAGTTCTGGCGAGAGATGACTGTTTCCACCTTATGGGGTCCTCCATGTGGGGGCCTGGTATTTTGCAGCACAGCTTAGGTGTGGAAGCCTGATGGTCCTCGGCCCATTCTGGGCTTAGGGAAAATAGTGAGCCCATCTATACAGCATATAGGCTGCTTGCTTGTTTCTGAGCTTCGGTTTCCATATCTGAAAATGCACACAGGCCCCCCATGCACACAGGCAAAAGCGCCCATGACCTGTGTCTTCTGGCCTATTTATTGAGTGGATGACCAATAAGTGATTATAGAAGTAAAGGAGCAAAGAGAGAATCCAGGGGATTGGGAAGTGCTGGAAGGGATCAGGAGTTCCAATGCAAATGAGAAACTCATTAGGATGAGGTGGGCATTGCTTCTTTCCTTCAGATGAGAGTTCTAGCCATCTCATTTAGGTAGACAAGTACGCCAGGGGCATTGATAACCATTGTGGATTGATAACCAAAGGTTCTGTTCATCCATCTCTGCAGTAGTCAGTCCACTCACCCTCTTAAGCATCCACCCATGTATTCTCCAGCCTGCCAGCTAATTACAATGGAATGGTCACTAGGAACATGTTTTTTGTCCATTTCCATTTTTAGTTTCATGCCATCTTTTCCTTGTCCTGTTTTTGTTGTGTAGGCAATGTTAATAACTGATATCCCCCTCCCCCCATTATGGGGATGGAACCCAGGGCCTCTGCATACCAAGGAAGTGCTCCGACACTGAACTGTGCCTCACAGGCTCAGTAACGGATAGTTATTTAGGGCTTCACATGTGCAAAGTACAGTGTTAAATGCTGTACATGTAATATCCAAATTCTTAAAATAGCTTTGCTGGTTGGTACATGTAATCTCAGGAACTTGGGATGCTGAGGCAAGAGGATCGCTCACAAGTTTTAGGCCAGCCTCAGCAAGTTAGTGAGAACCTGCCTAAGAAGGGCTGGCGATGCAGCCCAGTGGTGGAGTGCCCCTAGGTTCAGTCCCCAAGAATGCAAAGAAACAATCAAAAAACACCACTATAACGGGAATGAAGCTTCTGATATTTTTATAGATGAGGAAACTGGAAATTGGGCTCCTAAGTAATTTGCCTAAGATCATAATTATTATCCTGAGGCTAATGAAAACAATTTTTCTTTATACTGGGGATTGAATCCAGGCACATTTTTATCACTAAGCTATATTCCCAGTCCTAATTATTTTAAGGCTGGGTATTGCTAAATTGCCCAGGGTTTCATTACATTGCTGAAGCTGGTATCAAACTTGAGATCCCTGTACCTTAGCCTCCTGAAACACTGGGATCACGGGTATGGGCCACTGCCCTGAATAGCCCACATTCCCCACCCTCCTCCCTGTGTTGCGGATTGATCGCAAGGCCTTGCACATGTTAGGCAATTCTCTACCTCTGATCTGAAATCCCAGCTCATTTCGTTTTATTTTGAGGTGGGGTCTCACTAAGTTGCTCAAGGCTGGACTTGACTCAATCATTCTGCCTTAGTCCCATGAATAGCTGGGATTACAGGCATGGGCCACCATGTGCAGGGAGTATTAAATTACTATTATTATTGGTACTGGGGATTGAATGCAAGAGTGTGTAACCACTGAGCCATATCCCCAGCCCATTGTTGTGGAGGGTTTTTGGTTGTTGTTTTGGGATAGAGTCTCACTGTGTTGCTTAAGGGCTTGCTAAGTTGCTGAGGCTGGCCTGGAATTTGTGATCCTCCTGCATCAGCCTCCCAAATTGTGGGATTACAGGTGTGTGCCACTGCACCCCGCAAGTATTAAGTTCTTTAATAATAAATCACTGGGCTCTTAACTTCAGTTCTTAGACTTTATAATTTCTTTCAGAATTGGTTACATAGCTGTTATAAATGTAATGATCACCACATGCATTTTTAGTTTAAAGCAAGCTCATCCTCACTTGAATATTATTGTTTTAAGCCAGTGATTTCAAATGGTAGATTCATCATTTATAAGGATCAGAAAAAGTACCCAACTAGTAGCATCAGAATATTTGAGTAGAGGGGCTGGGGATGTGGCTCAAGCTGTAGCGCGCTCGCCTGGCATGCGTGCGGCTGGTTCGATCCTCAGCACCACATAACAACAAAGATGTTGTGTCCGCCGAGAACTAAGAAAAAATAAATGTTAAAAATTCTCTCTCTCTCTCCTCTCTCTCCTCTCTCTCTTAAAAAAAAAAAAGAATATTTGAGTAGAATATTTTTCTTTTGTTTTTGGTGCTGGGAAATGAACCCTAGGTCTCAATTGCTAGAAAAGAGGAGGGAAAAAGTCTTTGTTATATAATGGTCAGTAGTGAATATTGTTACATTGTTAGTGACAATGTATTTGCTCTACCACCAAGCTGCACTCCCAGCTATCTATTTATTTATTTATTTTGTGGGGGCAGGTTCTCTTTGAGTTGCTGAGGTTACCTTGAACTTACGATCCTCCTTCACCAGCCTCCTGAGACTCTCGGATTTCAGACATGAACCACCATGCTGTTGAACCCAGGGGCACATAACTATTGAGCCACATCCCCACCCCTCTTTATTTTCTATATTGAAACAGGGTCTGGATGAATTGCTTAGGGCCTCACGGAGTTGCTGAGGCTGGCCTTGCACCTGCAGTCCTCCTGCCTCAGCCTCTGTAGTTGCTGGGATTATAGGTGTGTGCCACCATACCTGGCAGAAGAATAATTCTTGTTAAATATTTCTTGATACATTAGCCAGATAATAGTTTAGTTTTTTTTTAAGAGAGAGTGAGAGAGGAGAGAGAGAGAGAGAATTTTTTTTTTAATATTTATTTTTTAGTTCTCAGCGGACACAACATCTTTGTTGGTATGTGGTGCTGAGGATCGAACCTGAGCCGCATGCATGCCAGGCGAGCGCGCTACCGCTTGAGCCACATCCCCAGCCCAGTAGTTTAGTTCTTAATGTAATAGTATTTGACATTGTGCCAGGTGTGGTGACTCATACCTGTAATCCCAGTGATTTAGGAGACTGAGACAGGAGGATATTGGAAGTTTGAGGCCAGCCTCAGCAATTTAGCAAGACTCTGTCTCAAAATAAGACAAAAAGGGCTGGGGATATGACTCAGTGGTATGGGGGATGGGAGATATATATATTCACTAAAAATTGAAAAGGGCTATAAGAATTCAGAAAGCCAACAGTATTGTTTGTCAGCAAAGTTAAAATATATATATAGTAAATTCTAAAATGAACCATTTATATTTCTGATGTTTGATAAGTTGAGGCTCTGTTAGAAATAAGAGGAAAAAAGTCTTTATTATATAGTGGTCGGTAGTGAATATTGTTACATTGTTAGTGACAATGTATTTGACTTATTTTGTTATATTTAAAAACTGTTCGTTGTTATTGTTTTGCAGGAGAACGCCCATATAAATGTGAACTTTGTCCTTATTCAAGTTCTCAGAAGACTCATCTAACTAGACATATGCGTACTCATTCAGGTTGGTAGAAAATGGGAACTTTCCCACCATTTTCAGTAAGCTGATGTTATTTTTTTAGAAAGTACTATTATAAAGAAGTTCTTTTTGTTATCATTTTTAGTTTTGGGGATTGATCCTAGGGGTGCTTTGCCATTGAGCTACAGTACATCCCCAGCCTTTTTTTTTTTTTTAATTTTTAGACATGGTTTTGCTAAGTTGCTGAGGCTTACCTCAAACTTACAGTTCCCTGAGTTAACCTCCCAAGCTGTAGGCACCACCATGCCCAGCTTTATTTATTTTGAGACGGTATCAAAAATTGCCCAGGCTGGCCTCAAAACTTGTGATCCTCTAAGGTCCTCCTGACTCACCCTCCTGAGTCTCTGGGATTGTAGGTTTTTTTTCACTATGCCCAGCTTGCTTGCTTATTTGCTGTATTTTTGAGTCTGTGGATTGAATCCAGGGGTGCTTTTTATTAGTGAGCTACATCTCCAGTCCTTTTTATTTTATTATTTTGTGTCAGGGTCTTGCTAAGTTTTTGAGGCTGCTCTTGAACTTGAGATCCTCCTGCCTCAGCCTCCCAAATTGCTGGGATTACAGGCATGCACCACTGTGTCTGGCTTTAAATGGGGATTGTTAACCTGAATTCTGTGGGTGGGACTCCTGAAACGGAATATATTTTTTTTCTATATGCATATTTTTCTAGGAGGATTTTTTTGGTTTGTTTTGTTGTTGTAGTACTGGGGGATGAAGTCAGGAATGCTTTACCACTGACCTACATCCCTAGTCTGTTACATTTTTTATTTTGAGGCAGAGTTTTGCCACATTGTCATGATTGGCCCCCTTCAGCCTCCCAAATAGCTGGGATTACAAGCATGTACCCCTACATCTGGGTTCTTCTAAATCTGAGCTATCGGGTTGTGCCCCTTAATCAGAATTTTTGTTTTATTACTTCTGAACACTTCCTGACTTCATTCTCCAAGGGTAACTTGGATTTAATATCAGGCTTGGTTAATGGTAGACATTGTGTCATGTGGATAGCTGTACTCTAGCCAACACATAAAATGTTTAAGTGCTTTATATAGGTTAATTCATCTTAGCTTTATAAATATTATTATGTTGTAAAGTTCTACTGTTCTCATCTTACAGAAGGCAATATTAAGGCATTGAAGAAATATGGCCATTTTTCCTGTGGAATGTCTTCTCTTCTAGATGTCTGATTGCTTTCTTATGATGTCATTTTGCTTTTCTTCTGTCCCTTTTTTATTTTTTATTTTATTTTTTAACTTAACATCCCTCTACCAGTGAGCTGCATCCCCACCCCTTTTCAATTTTTGAGACAGGGTCTCAAGTTGCTGAGGCTGGCCTCAAAATTGCAATCCTCTTTCCTTAGGTTCTGAAGTTCCTGGGATTACAGGGGTGTCGTCTATCACTGCGTTCAGCTTCTTTGTATTACTTGTAAATTGAAAATTAAATGCTTGAAGTCTACCTTGGGATGTGTTTAATCTGAAGCCACATCTAGTGGACCCATTGTGGTGAAGGGTCACTGGGTTAGGATTATGACACTTGTGTCCTTTTTGTATACTCATTAAATGTTTATGGTGTCTTTTTAAAATTGATAGTATATTTTATTGTTTAGGAAATAATGACAGGAAAAAGTCTACCTACTCAGTAAATACATAATATTTTTCTTATATACTTTAAATATGGAATTGTTTAAATTCATGGATACAAAACCTTTAGATATAGAGGGCTGATCACTTTATTTATTTATTTTTTGTATAGGAATTGAACTTAGGTGCTTAACCACTGAGCAACATCCCCAACCCATTTTGGGCAGGGTAGGGGCTTACTGGGGATTGAACTTGGGGCACTTGGTCACTGAGCCACTATATCCCCAGCCGTATTTTGTATTTTATTTAGAGAGGTCTCACTGAGTTGCTTAGTGCCTGGCTTTTGCTGAGGCTGGCTTTGAACTCACTGTCCTCCTGCTTCAGCCTCCTAAGCCACTGGGATTATAGGAATGTGCCACTACGCCCCACCCCAACCCATTTTTGGGATAAGGCTCTTTTTAAAAAATATTTATTTATTTATGTATCTTTTGTTTTAGATGGACACATTATTTTGTTTTTATGTGGTGCTGAGGATTGAACTCAGTACCTCATGCATGCTAGGCGAGCACTTTACCACTGACTGAGTCACAACCCTAGCCTAAGATAAGGGTCTTGCTAAATTGCTTAGGGCCTTATTAAGTTGCTCAGGCTGGTTTTGAACTCGTGATCCTCCTAAAACAGGCTTCTGAGCTGCTGGGATTATAGGTGTGCACCACTGCATCTGGCTATATAGTTTACATTTTATAATTATAATCTTCAGTATTAACCTAGGAGGCCATATTAGCTTTCTGCTGCCTTTTTATGGTGTCTTGTGTACCTGCTGAGTTAGTATCTTTGCATGAAACAAATATATTTGAATTTACCAGATGTTTGGTATTTTGCTTGCTTTTCTTTTTTGTGATACTAGGGGTTTAACCCAGGGGTGATCCATCACTGACTTCACCTTTTTTTTTTTTAAAAAAAAGGGGGTTGGGGATGTTGCTCTGGTAGAGTATTCCTGAATAAAACCAAGAAAACAACCCTTCCCTCTTTTTTTGTGATGTCCTGGGGATGGAACCAGACGTGTATGCTAGCTAGACAAGTGCTGTACCACTGAGATTCATCCCCAGCAATTTTTTTTTTTTTAATTATTTAGACGGGGTCTTGTTAAATTGCCTAGGCCGGCCTCAAACCCAGTATCTTCTTGCATCAGCCATTCAAGTGGGTGGGATTACAGAGTGGGTGGGATTTCAGGCATGCCTCACCTGGCCTAACTGTATCTACATATGTTAAGGAAATGTTGTCTCCATTTAGATCATTCATGACCCTGTAAGGTCAACTATAGAGTAGCATGTTGTGGAAACCACATTCTGATATTAAAAAGAGTTGTCTAATTAGTGACATACCTAATCTGACATACCTTGGAGAAGTATGTTTTTGTGATTTAGTATTATATAATAATTTTCTAATCATGGAAAGCTTAACATCTACATGGTTTTGCTACATTTCTGAATTTTTGCTTTATGAAAAACTTATAAGATTAATATGAATTTGAGAATGTTTGAGAGATGAATTTTCATAAATGTTAATTTCCATTTCTCTACTATGCATTCCATTGGACCAGTGGGGTATGGATACCATTTGATAATATTTACTAGAAAGTGATCTAGATGGGTATGTATTCAGGTAGAATGTGTTATTCTTATGCCTTTAATTTGGGTTATGGGGGTGGTTCTGGTTTTGTATGTATCTGTGATTATGACTGTTTGCTTGTGTTACAGTATCTATTTGTATGCAGCTTCTCGTGTATCTAGTTTTAAGTGCCCATTTTATAGAAAAGGTAAGAGAGGAAAAAAATCACAGAAGTTTTCTGAATAATTACCTTAGCTATATTTTTACTTTAAAATAGCAGCTTTGGCATTAGAAAGCATGCTGAGTAAAACTTACTGAGCTCTTGCCATAATGAACAAAAGGTTTAAATTTCAAGAGAAAACCTTTTCCTCTTTATGTTAGGCTACAGCAGAATTTTAAAACCTTTGTACTTAGGGTCTGGGAGTATTTCCCAGAGTAAAAGATATTTCTCCCAAGATTTATCTTAGAAAATGTGTGGGAATTTTATAATGTACTCCATATACATTTGTTTTCCCTTAACAAAAAAGTTTAGAATTATTTTCTCTTGAGTGACATTGCCTCAAAATTAACATCCACCCCCCGGTTGAGTTTTTTCTAGTAATTCCATTTCTTGATGAATCTCAGTTGTTTAATGGTGCTTCAGAGCCTTAACTTTATGGAACTTTTTTGAGGGATGGGGTACTGGGGATTGAACCCAGGGGTACTTAACCATTGAACTACATCACCAGCTCTTTTTAATTTTTTAGTTTGAAACAGGGTCTCACCAAGGTGCTGAGCCCTTCATTTAAGTTGAACATAAGATTCTTCTGCCTCAGCCTCCTAAGTCAGTGAGATTATAGGCATGTGCCATTGTGCCCAGCTTTATGGAACATTTTTTGAAGATGATGGTGGACAGATAATTTATTCCTCTATTGGTTTGAGAATCAGTGTCAAGGGATAGAGAAAAGCCATACAAATAAATACAGTAAATGCAAGGTGCATGATACATTCTTTTCAATAGTGTTTGTGATTATTTTATATGTACAATTTCTTATGAGCATATTTAAATCTTGAATTTGTTTTAATCTGTCTTCTAACATCTCTTATTTATCTTTAGGTGAGAAGCCATTTAAATGTGATCAGTGCAGTTATGTGGCCTCTAATCAACATGAAGTAACCCGCCATGCAAGACAGGTTCACAATGGGCCTAAACCTCTTAATTGTCCCCACTGTGACTACAAAACAGCAGAYAGAAGCAACTTCAAAAAACATGTAGAGCTACATGTGAACCCACGGCAGTTTAATTGCCCTGTATGCGACTATGCAGCTTCCAAAAAGTGTAATCTACAGTATCATTTCAAGTCTAAGCATCCTACTTGTCCTAATAAAACAATGGATGTGTCAAAAGTGAAATTAAAGAAAACCAAAAAGCGAGAGGCTGACTTACTTGATAACAGTACTACCAATGAAAAAACAGAAACAGAGCAAACGAAAATAAAGGGGGATGTAGCTGGAAAGAAAAATGAGAGGTCTGTAAAAGTGGAGAAAAAAGATAATGTTTCAAAAGAGAAAAAACCTTGTAGCAATGTTTCAATGATTCAGGTCACTACCAGAACTCGCAAGTCAGCAATAGAAGCTAAAGACCTGGATGTGCATACAAGAAATAATTCAGAAAAATCCTGTAAAGCCAAGAAAAGCAAAAGGAAGATGGAAACTGAAGCCCATTCCATGCATGATCCTGTGAATGATGAGGAATCTATGACAAAAAAGAAAAGGAAGATAGAAGGTAAATCCAAAAATAGCCAGGAAGTACCAAAGGGTGATAACAAAGTGGAGGAGAATAAAAAACAAAATACCTGCGTGAAAAAAAATACCAAGAAGAAAACCCTAAAAAATAAACAAAGTAAAAAAAGCAGCAAGCCTTCTCAGAAAGACACCTCTCAGAAGGAACCTGTTCAAAAGGAGACTAGTCAGAAGGGGCCTGTTCAAGATGTTCAGAAGGGGCCTGTTCAAGATGTTCAGAAGGGGCCTCTGCAGATAGAGTTGCCTCTACCCATGGAACCTGTTCAAGTAGAGCCTGCTCACATGGAGGTGGTTCAGAAGGGGCCTGTTCAAGTAGAGCCTGCTCACATGGAGGTGGTTCAGAAGGGGC